CAGGGTGTACCAAAAAAAACTTAGCACATAGATTTTTTTTTGACTTTTAAAACAAAAATACATTTCAAATGTAAAACTACTTTTATTTCAAAATCTATAAGGATCTACGTATTTTTGTTTTAAAAGCCAAGAAAAAATCTATGGGCTAAGTTTTTTTTGGGACACCCTGTACAACCATGATTTGGTCCCAGAACAAAATTCGAAACTAACAAGTATATTGTGTGTTCCTACCTACAATAGAGTCACTTCAAAATAAAAGCATTTCTGTCTTGTAGCATTTTCTTAGCTCTATCTATTACAATAGAAGTTAGTTCCAAACTCAATAGTATAAGTGCAGAAATTAAATTTCAAAAAGGGGGTAAGTTTTTTTTGGGACACCCTGTAGTTCCATACAATAAGATGAACTATAGAGCACTTCAGAATATTTTTCTATGATTTTAGCTTGAAATCTACTGTTGAGGTCAGAACCAACATTATCAATAAGTATACCTGTGATATAGCATTTAGTAAAATCTGAAAATTTCCATTTAGAAATAATACAGGTAAATGAACAGAACATATCTGGAAGTAGAAGTCTAGTACTGAGCGTTAATGCAAACAAATTTAGAAGCCACAAGAAGGAAACTTGCATGCTTCCATTTCTTAAAAATGAAGGAAAAAACTGGAAAAATATTTGTGCAACAGTAAGATAACGCCTAATTCTTTTCATCATCAAGCATGACACGGAAAGATTTGAATCAGCAACATTTACAAGCGTTACATGAAAGTACAGGATGGTTCAAAAGTCACGCACTCGAGGAAACAATCGAATATCTCTATTACAGCTCGAGCAAACGAGCTGATTTTTTTACCAATGATGGAGACATGTTCAAGATTTATTTCCATCAAGACATGCCTAGAGACACCCTGTATTAAGTACCACTATTGATCTGAACAAAAATTTTACTTTGTTACAGATAGGAAAAAAACCAATATACCTAGCAAAGGGTCTCTCTAGGCATGTCTTGATGAAAATAAATCTTGAACATCTCTCTATCATTGGTAAAAAAAGCAACCCTGTTTGCTCGAGTTGTAACAGAAATATTCGATTGTTTCTCGAGTATGTGACTTTTGGGCCACTCTGTATATTTCCTTCAAACACACGAAAACATAGAGAAAACTGAAAATGATTTGCATGGAAAATATTCATACTCTGCTGTAAAAAGCCTAAATAAAATCTCACATTTTCCAACGAAGAAAAACTTTCTATTGTCCGTTTCAAAAGATAGGGCGCTCCACTGTTTTTTAAATAACTCAAGAACTCAAACAGCTAGAGATCTGTGGTGTTTACCAATCAAAAGAGGAGACAGAGTAACGTCTTTTTCTCCAATATTGTATAAGACGAAATCATTTTAAAATCAGTCACTTCTGCGAAACATCGAGGAAACATATAAAAACCATCTGTCATTCAGATGAAATTTTGACAAGAAGTAAGACAATTCGCTTAAAAAAATAAAAGAAATCTATAGTTTTCGTGTGAATAAATAGACGATGTCATTTGTTCAACATTAGGAGGTAGGAAGATAATCATACGAAGTACATGTTGAACTATAGAGCTGAAGTTCTTCTATCTAAATCACATGTTAAGACCAAAATTTCATCGGAATGAAGGATCGTTTTCATGCATTTTTTATAAAGTTTTGCAGAAATGACTGACTTTACAATGATTTCATCTTATACGATATCGAAGAAAAGGACGTCCTTGTGTCTTCTGTTTCGATTAGTGAAAACCGCAAATCCCTAGTTGTTTGGACTCTTGAGTTATTCAAAAAGCAGCGAAACGTACTATATTTTGAAACGGACATTACGTTTAAATACTTTAATATACTTTTTTCCAAAAGTAATTCAAAAGAAAAGAGGAGTGTGTGGTGCGATTCATTTCGACAACTTTTTTTCTAAAGATCGAAAAGAGGATGAAAAACCTTCCATGTGCATTGGCTTTGTTGAAGCTCTATGACATTTTACTTGTCCAGATCAGAATCCAAAAAAATGATAAGGGTAGAGCTTTGATCAAGGATCGAAGGATCTGAAGTTATTTTATTGATTGTTTTAAAAAATATGACTAGAAAACGTGTTTAAGATGTTAGATCTGCGAGTATCTGTTACAGGTAGAATTACAACTTAGATAAAATTAAGCTTAGAAAGAATTCATTTTGAATTA